TTATTTTTCTGTTCCAGTGCTTTAGACCCTTAATTTTCATGTTCTTTATGCTGGCAATTTACTAGGGAGAATTGGAATTATTACAAACAGCCTTTAAAAAATATCAATTCATTTCTTATTATACAGTACTAATTTTGCAGATTATGAAAAGTCATACAGTCGCTCTGAAGAAAGAATCTTCATGCTTAGTGAGTTTTCTGTAAGGAAGTAAAAGTTCTGGAGGAAGAAAAAATTGGGGAAATCTTAGATTATCTATCCTTGTTGGCCCTTGCTGTTACAATATACATTATTTATTATTGGGTAGTTTTTAATCTTCTGGGCTTTTTGTATGTATGCCTGTCTGAGTGTCACAGAAATGTTAGTAATAAAAAGTAGTAAAGTGCCATTGCTGCTTAATCACCTTTCATACTTTCCTATTTAAATCTGTCACTGAAACCGTTAGCATTTTAATTTGCATTCTTGTCTAATGACCCAGTTTGTCTATGATTCTCTGCATTTCAATTCTTTCTATGGTCTTATTCAGATCCTGTAACTGGGGCTAATTATTGTAACTGCCAAGCTAGCAAGATAAATTCACACATACATATTCATTACTTGACAATCCGTATGTATAAAAGATCTTTCATAGGTCAAAAATACCTAGATGGGACTTTTTTGTCTGTTTTTGAAGCATTTTTCATCATGTATCTGTTTCTGCTTATGTTGTTAGTAAACTGACTGGTATTTCTAGATAGGTTTTTAAAAACTATTTAAAAGACTGATATACCAAAAAAGAAATCTACGTCGCCAACTCAGAAAAGGGTAAATAGTGATTATATTGTGGGAAAAAAGCCAGAAACTAAATATAGTGGTTAAAATAAAGTTAACAAAATTATCTGTAATTAACAGGGGAAATAGCCATATAATAACTATAAATAACCGTATAAATTAATTCAGTTGTGAAACTTATCATTACATCAAGACCATACAACATGTTGTATCATTTTTTCACTTTTAAAACACAGAGACTTTTCCAAAACAGGTTAACAGATTAATGCCATGGATCCATTCCTTAACATTTGGAGGACAACTTTATTTCCAATTACCTAAAATAATCCTCTTTTCCATATTCGAAGCTTGACAGAGCCAAAGTTCTTTATGAGATGATAATGCCATGTTTAGAAATATAATTCAACATCACAATGGGCTCATTCATTTCCAATTTTTCATTTCACATTTAAATATATAACAAATGCTGACTTTCATGTTTTAATATCTTATAAAATTGAATTGTTGGTTTCTGTTCAAACACTCTTAACCATTGCAAGTAGGTCAAATTGAAAACATAATTTCCTAATTCAAATCACCCATTCAAAATCAGCTTTTAATTAATCCTTTATTTAGTTCAGGTATTCGAATAAAATAGCTTTCCTGTTATTGTTGTATTTTAAGTTGTACCACAGAATGTTTCTCATGTAATTTTGCTTAAAATGTACAGACTTATTAATAAATATATCTAGCAGCTTTCAAAGCAGAAGATGAAAATCTTATTTTAATGTACTTGTCAAAATTTCAGATATATACATTTGCTCCTCAAGTGGGCCAAAAGATGAGAAGTCTTAATCCCAAAACAAATGGATATTAAAATAAGAATCCACTGATATAGCTGAACATCTGATTAATATAACCACTATCAAGCAGAATGAGCAATTTAATCAACCATAATCCAGAGGCTTTAACCTGCCGTAAAAATGTTTCCACTGAGTAGACCAGTGGTGGCGAACCTATGGCACGCATGCCAGAGGCGGCACTCAGAGCCCTCTGTGGGCAAATGTGCCGTCACCCCCGCTCTGCCTCCCCCTGCAGCCCCCTCATCACCAGCAGCCCCCCCTGGAGGTTACCCTCGAGGTCACGCGGAGCAGTGCAGCCAAGGATATGGCAGCTGGGCAGCGGGGACAAGACTCTGCCCTTGTGCCCCGTTGCACACAGATGATGCTGCGGGGCACGAGCGGAGGGCATGGTCACTATGATGCTGCTGGGCCACCTGGACGATTGGTGGGCTGTGAAGGTGATGAGTGGCCCCATGGGGAGGTGGGGCAGGGGCGGGGCTGGTTTTGGGGCACTTGGTCTCTAGAAGGTTCGCCATCACTGGAATAGACTGACCCCTAGGCATTTTGCATTTTATCTACATATCTCTATGTGTGTGTATGTTTATGTACACATACACACATACATATATATAGTATATACACAGATTATACACACACGCACCTATATATCTACAGTATCTATATATTTGATAGATAAAAAGCTATGTAAAAGTAGCATTCTATACAAACAATTGTTGGGCACAGAAATCAATTCCTTCTCTGTTCTCTACTTTCTTCAAAAATAATGCTTTGACCTTCATACTGAAAAAAATTGAGCTTGAAAATCTGCATTGTGCCCATGTCTAAATTTTGGGACTAGAGTTCCAGAGACAAGGAACATCAGTTCCTGTTCAAGACCTGGAATTTGGAATTAGGCGCTGAATGCAAAATAGAAATTAAGAATGTTTCTTCAATTCTAGAATCCTATAGTACTAATAGTTAAATATTAGCTAAATAATTAAACTAATTTGATTGTTAAATACTGTTAGTAGAGCTTTGTGTAACTTGTAGACATAGGCATTGACCTTAGTTCAAAAATTGTTGGGACTCTAAGGTGAAATCAGGTGGCTTGTAATTGATAGATAATTGATTAAAAAGGATTATTTGTTTATTTTGCAGTTTCCTGTGCAAAATCTTCTGAAAGAAAAGTACACAATAAAATCAATGCATTAAAACAATATAAACATGTATATGTATAAGTGAACAGGAAAGGAAAATAAATGTGGAATGTAATCCTATCTATCCAACATTCATATATACTGTAATACTTAATTAGAAGACAGGGCAAATGCTAATTAGAAATAAGAGCTGGGGAAATAAACGTTATTTGCACTGCAAATTTTATTCTGTTCGGTAGCTTATTACTGATGGAATTGGCTTCACAGATATCTGAATGGCATGGCAAATCCTGTCAAATAAAGTCTTTTAAAAATTATGCCAAATGGCCTGGAAAACCTATCCAGTGTCTATGTCACTTTAATTATTTGCATCTCTGTATTAATTGTTATAGCAAGCATAATGTCACATTTAAGTTATGTTTGATTCCTATGCCTGCATAAAAATCATCCATGAAGAATATGGAAATGGTTTGCTATTGCCCTCTTTCAGGACAACTTTTCAACTTCTTAGAATTGCTTGATAGTCTCCTATTCAAGGAGTGATCAGGTCCAAGCTTGCTTAGCCTTTCTGAAGTCATATGGGTGCAGTTGTTCTCTGTCATCCGTAAGTAAATTAAAATTGGTGAAGGGTACTTTAATGTCTCTTGGCAATTGGATTAACGTTCTCTAATACAAAAGCAAGACGTCACTAACACAGGCTTCTATTTAAGTTGCCAAATGATTCCTTCATAATTATATTAGAACCAGTTTGGTCTAGTGGTTAAGGCCCCAGGCTAGAAACCAGGAGATTGTGAGTTCTGCAGCATAGATAGTTCTCGACTTACCTCCACAATTGAACCCAAATTTTCTGTTGCTAAGCAAGACAGCTAAGTGAATTTTGCTGCATTTTATGACCTTTATTTCCATAGTTAAGTGACTCGCTACAGTTGTTAAGTTAGTAACACGGTTGTTAAGTGAATCTTGCTTCCCTCTTGACTTTGCTAGCCAGAAGGTTGCAGAAGGTGATCACATGACCCCGTGACACTGTAACTGTTATAAATATGAGTCAGTTGTCAAGTGTTCAAGTTCTGATCAGGCAATCATGGGGATGCTGCAACAGTCGTGAAATACAGTCATAAGTCACTTTTTTCAGTGTCGGTGTAACTTTGAGCAGTCAGGTCAAGGACTATCTGTAGTCCTGCCATAAGCATAAAAGTGGTTGGGTGACTTTGGGCAGTCACTCTCTCTCATCTGAATTCACCTCACAGGGTTGTTGTGGGGAAAATAGGAGGAGGAAGGAATATTATGCTCACTGACTTGAGTTATAAAAATAATAAAGCCAGGAAGAATAAATAAGTATAAAATGATTTGCAAATATATTACTTTAATACCCAAAGAAGACTAAGACTTGACACAAATAAAAAAATATAGACCAATGTCTCTGTTAAATGTGGATTATAAAGTTTTTGCTTCAATAATAGCAGAAAGATTAAAAAGATTTCTGATTGAATTTGGTTATAGTGAGTGACTTGCTCATGAATGTGTTTTAGACACCTTAGAATACTATGAACTGCACCCAAGGAAGCCGATGGCGCTAATATTCCTAGATGCACAGAAGGCTTTTGATAACATAAACTGCAGTTCATGATTCAACAACTAAATGAAACAGATTTTGGAGAAAACTTTATATATACAATTAAAACAATGTATCATAGAAAGATAGCTAAAATAATTGTAAATGGAGATTTTACAGAAAATTTTAACATTAAAAAAGGCACAAGACAAGGATGCCTATTATCGCCATTATTATTTATATTAAGACTGGAAATATTAAATAGAAATATTAGGCAAGACTCAGAAATTAAAGGAATGAAGATAAAAGATGAAAAATATATGCTACAAGCATTCTCAGATGACTTGGTTTTCATATTAGAAGAGCCACTTGTGACAAGCCCCAAGCTTCTGAAAAAGATAGAAGAATTTTGAGAAGTGACAGGACTGAAAATAAATAGAGAAAAGACCAAAGTGATAACCAAAAACCTTACAGATAAACAAAAAAAAATCAGTTGTCAGGATTTTTGTTTAATCTTAATTTTGTAAGTTTGTTTTTATGCATATGATGATTGGTTATTTTTTCAGAATGTAGATTTCTATATATACTATTTGTCATATTTTAATGAAGTGTTTATATGATGAAACGTCTACCATTTATTTGATGGCATCTCTGATGTAAACCTCTTTCTTCCTCTACTCCCCCCCCCCAATTTCTTTTCAGCTGGCAGGAGGGATCATTCTTGGTGTGGGATTATGGATTCGTCATGATTCACAAACCTCAGTCATCTTGCAGTCATCACTAGAAGACCAGTCTGCTCCTAATACATTCTACATTGGTAAGATAAAAAAAGCTACGTAACCAGGATTTCTAGCATAGTGGGAGGGAATCAAACCCCAAATTGTTATTTTTTTTTTCCTTTGCGTCTATGGAGTGTCTGCAGCTGACCCCCCAAAAAATCCCACTTCCTTGCTTAACACCTGTTTATTTGTTTATGATATTTTTATTGTTGCCCATTTCACACAAATGATTCTGGGCTGCTTACTAGATTAAAACATAAACCATCATCTGATACAACACATATACATACACACATACCCATGCTCAAAGATAAACAGTTGAGCCACTCACCATCAGCAGTACCACCTGGCCTAAATGACTAGGAAAACAGGTAGAACTCCAGTGTTTTGTCAAAGAGTAACAGGATTGGAGCCCTCTGAATCTCCAATTATCTCCATTGTGGGTTAATACATTCCAGACTAACATAAGAAAAGTAAAAGACTGGATGTCTCTTTTTGATCCCCTACCACCCACCCCACCCCGAAATCAGCCACAGGAAAATAAAGTATAAGAGCAAACCAATAATTCATAACTGGGTAGATTTTCAGAGCTCAACCATTTAACTCCATGACCATGCAGAATCGTTATTGCAAATCTGAGAGGCGTTCCTCCTAGTTATGTGCAAGATGGAATGTTTTGTTGCCAGAAGGTTTTGTTTTCTCCTCCAACATAAGGCTTTATCCCAGAAACTGGCATAACTGAACATCCCAGGGAAATGTGTGTATTTTGAGGCTAAATTGCAACTGAGACAAAATGGAGTACTTCCTTTTCTAATAGGAGTTTGCCAATGGAGTTCAAAAAGAGAAAAAAGCGGTAAAAATGAGAGATCAAGAAAGAGCTGAATACTGGGAACCGTCAATCAATCCCGACTAGCAATAATGATGTTACCTAGCCTGGGTAGTGAAATATCTGCAGGAAAACAACCAAGCTCAGAGAGCACCAATGACCTCTCATTCCAACCCCGAGCTACAAATATTCTCCTTTATTAGTGATGTACTATTGCAAGAGTTAGTGCTAACATTTAAGGTAACCAGCCTGCACTTTTCTGGACCTGAGGATGAAGAGTAGGAGGAGGAAGTTCTATCTCCTCCTGAATCTGAGATCCTGGCATGTGATGGTAGCGGTAAATGAGACACATTCATGAGCAAGTCGCTCACCATAACCAAAACAGGTAGGCCACAGAGCTGAGGGGAATGGTAAGTGAGCATAGCAGAGCTATTACTAAGAACTCCTGCCTTACTGTGTGGGTGGTACAATGTCCCATGCATCTCAGCATATAGTCATATTGGCCACATAACGACGGAAATGTTTTCGGAAAACACTGGCTCCCTTGGCTAAGAAACAGAGATGAGCATCAACCCCTAGAGCAGTGGTTCTCAACCTTTTTAATGCCGCGACCCCCCAACCGGTCGTAAGTCGAGGACTACTCAACTGGTGCAGCACCGTTTGCAGAATGGGACTTTTGGCGGGCTCAGCAGGGCAGAGACAGCCTGGACAATTCCTATTGGCTTTTGAAAGCCAATAGAATTAGACTCTATTCAAGAGAGTCTATTCTATTGGCTTTCAAAAACCAATAGAATAAAAGGGAGAAGCACAGCTAAGGAAAAGGGGAAAAAAATGGCGGACTGCGTTGTTTGGTGACCCCCATGAAATAGTCGTTCGACCCCAAATGGGGTCCTGACCCACAGGTTGAGAACCACTGCCCTAGAGTCAGACAGGGCTTGGGGTGGGGGTGCACTGCCTGAGGAGTAGGAAGTGACAGGTAGCCACAAAGGAGCTTAGAAGAATAGGCCTCTTGGTTGTAAACACTTGGCCTGGATGATTTCATCTCCCTTCTCTGAACTGGAGTTCCTTGCCTGCTAGAAGAAATATGAAGAGATGTCTCCCTTGTTCTCCAGCAGCTTTCATTCCCCCTTGGGAAGATAAGTGAAGCAGCTGTATGTTTCTTTCCATGATAGGAAATGGAAGGGTTGCTCTTTGTTCTATCTCTGGATGGGCCTCCAGGCTGTAGAGCCTGGTTACTGTCAGTGAAAAGAAAATAAGAGCTCCTGGAAGTGAGGCAGAGGCAAACATTCAGTGATAGGAAATGAAGGAACATAAAAAAAAAAAAAAGCAGCATCTCCCTTGTAACAGTGCTAGGATCCAAAGATCAAACACAATCTGCAACCTGAAACTATGAGATATCTAGAGCAGGATAAAGTTCTTTGCATAGTTTAGGAAGAAAATTCCAATATTATGCTTATTTATACATTGGTATATTACTTTCCAAAACTGAGTTATTCCAAGGCAACAATGTATTAAAAAAATCACAATATTAAAAAAGTTGAGAATAGGTAATAATTATAACCATGATGTATAAACAATAAAACCAGAATAGTAGACAAGTGAATTCAAGCTAATTTAGTGTATGAAATGTTTTGAATGGAACCATTTCACCTTCAAAGTGAGCTGTTTTGTGCCTGAAATGGTTTGTTTCAACCATCTTGCAAGTATTTTAAAATATTCTGTCCTGCTGTGAAATTTCTATTCAGTTGGGGGAAAAAAATGCTGAAATACCTCATAAACCATAATTCTAAGAAATGTTGAGTTTCGGTTTCTTTGCAGGCTCTGTCTTTCCTGTCCTTTAGTTTTGTGTACTCTGCATAGTACAGTACAGACCATTCCATCTTAATGTTTCATTTTTTCCTGCTAGCCTTGTCATCTTTTTTGCTTAATTAATGTCCTTGTGAGACAGGAGAAAAACTGCAGCCTATATAATGATCTGATAAACAAAATCTGAGTCTAAGGAGGGGTGGGTGGGTGGAAGGAGTGTCTCAAAAAAAACCCTTCCTAGTTTTGGGGAAAGTAAAAAGCAAGGGAGGGGAGAGCTACTCTCAGACTTGCAAAACTGCTACTGCAACCTTACAATAAATAGTGTTAGTATTCATGGTTGGCACTTATCTGGACTGCTTCAAAGGACTGGCACAGCCCTAGAGTAATGTATCAAATGCAAAATAAGTTTTCTATTTAATAACTTTAAACAAATTACTGTAATTGAATTTGCCTTACTATAAATAAAGTAAATATATTTGTTTTCCATTTATTTTGAAAATAAGTGAACACCCCAGGGGGGTAGGTACCCTGTCCAGAAAATTTTCTCATTTTTGATCAAATGTATGTGGCATTTGGTTCTTGTAACAGAATACGAATTCTGTGACGTCGTCTTGGTGTCTGTTTCCCTCCTGCCTTGTGAGATATTAAAACCTCAGTCTTGACTCTCTTTCCAGCTTTTCTCCCTTGTACCCGTACCATGTTAACTTGCAGCTAGGTATATTATGGTGTTCTCATAGTTCTGAGTTTTTAGTCTAACTTTTCATCTTAGTCAGGTTGTATATTTCCTTTGCAAATTGTGTGTGTGTGTGTGTGTGTGTGTGTAAATAAAGTTAGTTATGAATTGATCTTTATTATTCTTTGGTGTCTGGCAAAGAATTGAAGTTTAGACTATAATTTAACCTCTAATTCAGATGCACTGCCAATATTTAATCTTTCATTTGAGATCTGTATATCCTCACATCCAGTTTCCCCTTTCTTTTGTTTTATACTGCTTTTTACTTTTGTTATTTTTGCCTTTTTTAAAAAAAATATTGTTTCACCCTTGGCTTGTGAAGGATTTAATAGAAATGTGTCCCATAAACATTTTCGTATTAGGTATAACCTCAGAACCAATAAAAAGAGAGGGATGTGTGTGGGAGTTAAGCTTATGAAGAAAGCAGCAGAATGCAACCCATTGCAAAATTAAATAAAAGCAAAGAAAAATAGAGGTCCTTAAACAAGACTGTATTTTGATATTATGTCTTTGCTCGCTTTGATGTTTGCTATTTATTAATATGAAGCAAAGCAGATCTACCGCATAGACAGCAAATGACCACAAATTCCAGAGATGTTTCCAACCCCATGGAAGTTCTTGCTCCACTCCAAATGGATAGGAATGGCCTCTAGTTACAGCCACATCTGAATAACTCTGCTCCACTCTAGACATCTCTGCTAATAATTGCCATGCTTAGCAGTGCAGCACATACTTGCTACTGGTGAAGATGATCAAGAGTTTCAAGAAAGCAGAGGAACAGTCCTCTCCAGAAGGTGGACTGGAGAGCAGAGCTGAGTAGCAAAGCAGGAGAATGAAAACTTCCATCCTCTACTCACCAATGATAAGTGTGTGATATGAGAATTGTTATCTCTCTGTAATACTTTTTTGATGGCAGGCAAGAGTCTTGTGCACAAAACGTGCAAAGAAACTCTATGAAAGAACTCTTAGGTCTCCTATTATTTATTTTATTAAATTTTTAAGCTGCCCATCTGCCTGATAAGGTGCCTGATAATGTGATGCTTTGTATCTTGGAAAAGTCTGAGCATTTGCAAAGAAGAAACAGCTGCAAAACTTGCAAGGTGCTTTCCTTCTGAACAATTTAGAAACAGCTGTCAGATGCCAGACTGAAAAGTCTGTGGCTTACCCCCTAGAATCCAGGTGTCAAATTCGCCGTGTCACATGACGTATCATAACTTTTTTTGCATTGCCGGGGCTGGGGTGGGCGCAGCCTCCGCATGATGCAACCAGCCTACAGGCCAATAGTTTGACACCCCTGATTTCCCAACTGAGGTGTATAGTACCTCAGTGTACCTCCCTTGCAGACAGAGTCCAGAGGGTGTGAAGAACTTTTTCATGGCACATTATTAACAATAAATCCACCTTTCCCAAAGTTGCATTGTATTGTTTTCATTGTTCACTATTGTTCATTTTGGTGAATTTGAATTTTTATGGGAGGTGTGCACATTGAAGATTACATTAAAGGCAAATGTGATGGCAAAAAGAAAACCAATTTGATCTTGTATAGGGGTAGGCAACCTTGGCTCTTTTATGACTTGTGGACTTCAACTCCCAGAATTCCTGAGCCAGCATGGTAGCTAGGGCATCAGGCCAGAAAGTCCTGCCTTTCCCATGAAAGCCATCTAGGTGATCTT